TTCTTATCGCTAAGCTTCGGTCTGCAGGAGTGTCTTTTGTCTTGGCTCTCTTCCTACCTGCTTGGAAGAACGTTCATGTTTCGAGCAGGAATCTTTCTCTCCAACGATACTGGGGCCACATCCGGGGTTCCTCAGGGTTCCCATCTGGGACCTCTGTTATTTAATGTTTATATAAATGACGTAACGAGTTACTTTTTGGCTGGTTTCAGTCTTCTCTTTGCAGACAACCTCAAGATGTTCATGACGATATCCTCACTAGACGATGCTGTGCGACTGCAGCATCAGATTGAGTGATTGGTGTACAGTTAACTGTATGGATTTAAACAGAAATGCCCAGGTTTGTAACATTTGAAATGTCACAACAATATAATTCTTGTTCTTAATTATTTTCATATATTTTGGACTCATTTGAACAATGTTTAAAGTACTATTTCGTACACCTAGCGACATCTATGATTCTTCTGACTAGTTTTCCTAACCTAATATCATTGAATCGAGAATTCCATTATTTCCGAGAAACCTGTAGCGCTGTCATTTTTATGATCTCGACAAGCCTGATTGATCAAGAAAGAAAAGACAGAACCACTTTGGGTACATTTCGACTAGCTTTTCTATTTTGTCGTAGGACCGGAAAGGTCGTCCAAATTTTTAATCTTAAAAATCTTAAAATTTTGTCTTTATTTTTGGCCATCGAGCCTATAGTTTTATAAATTGACTAGCGAGAAGAGTGATTAATCGTGTCAGCTAGAACGTTTCTTGGAAAATCAACAAATTGTTGATTTTTGTAAAGATTTTTGAAAGTGAGGTTAACTATCGGCCGTTCAGGCAACTTTGGACAGGACAGGACGAAAAATCCGCGCCTGCATTTCTAAGTGAAAATTGACGATTTTGAGACCATGCTCTTCTGCATGTCAAAGTAAATCTGAGCCCCCTTTTCAAGGAATGTTGGTGTCCTGTAAGAAGTTGATCCCCAACCATTATTTGGTTGTCTCCAGCCAGTTTGGTACTTCCAGATCTCAAATTTGTGAAAACCTCCGAGGCTTTACAAGATTCCGTCCAGGCTTGTATAATTATTTACCTATGGGTACTGTAAATGTGCCATAATAATTACCCTTACTTATTATTATTTTTTTTCTATCGCCCCCTATCGATTAGCTTTATTAGCTAATTAATATCTTTATAAATATTAATAGGGTACTTGCATGGAAAATTAAATTGATTATTGTTTATTGCAAACTGTAGGAAATCGAAAAAAAATCGTTACTTTTTTTTATTTCGCCCAAATATGATTATTCCGGAAGTTATTCAAATATTAAATTTTGTATATATAGATATACTGAGCATGTGCAACGTCACTTATTTATTAGATAAGTGACGTCATAGGCATATTTCATAGTGTTGTATCTCCGTCAATTTTTGACTAAGAAGCAAAAGAAAAAACACGTGTTGACTTATTTTTCATGGACTATCGAAATCAACAATAAAAAAATTTGATGCAAGGAGCCTATTACCGTTAATTATTATTACCTTTTTTCTATTGCCCCTTATCGTTTAGCTTCATTAGCTAATTAATATGTTTGTGAAATCAATTACCGACTGGTTTAACGTATAGTAGTATTTGGCTAGAATAGCTAACTACTGTTTAAATATTATTATCAATTTAATTAATTAATCATTATCATTATTAGATATTTACCTTCATTAACGTTTTCTTTATCATTATCTAGTATTCTAGTATCTAATAATTATGGGTTATTAAAATTATTACAAATTTATTTCTTTCATATCGAGTACCGATAGATATAATATATGGTGGATTCATTAACATTTGGAGGTTGATTTGACCTTTAATTTCAAATCAATAAGGTGGTAGTTCTACAAGGTAAACCAATGTAAAATCTTTAGGTAGTTAAAGTTAAGTTATATGGTTACATATTTTGAATTTTAATTACAGGTAAGACGGTAGAGCTCTCCCCGATATCCTTAATTTCAGGTTTTTGATATTTAGAACTCCCTAGGGATTATTTATTACCTTTCTGCATTTATAAATTTGTTTTTATTTGATTTGATTGACTTTGAGTCAAAGAATTAAAGGTTAATGGTATTATGACTTCCCCATTTATACTTAGGTAAATTTCATCGTGGGTATTTATTTAATTGTTTTTAAATTTCAATCCTCTAATATACTTATTTAAATTAAGTTTTGCTTTTGGAAAGCTGCTTAATTTTATTATTTTTTTTTTTAATCGGATACTGAACAATATTCTCCTCTGAACAATTGAATACATTTTCACTGAAGAGCCAGTTCGCCATTTTGTCAACAAATTTTCAAAGAACAACAGTTCGACCTTTGGTTAATAAATTATTGTTTTTAGAATTCCAAAACTTGTGTTTTTATTGAATGGGTCAAATGTCAGATAGCTATTGGATTTTGGATTTATTTTACCTTTTCAGATTTTTAAATTTATCTTTTTAAATACTAGCTAACTATTTGAATAGTGTCTAGTTTGGCTATTCTTTTATAATAAAAATAATTTTATACAAACTAGTGGCGCCCTCTCTCGACTGTACCAACACCAAGGACCACCCCAAGCTAAACAACCACTGAGCATAGTCGAGCGCAGATTATTAGCATTTTTTTGTTACGACAAAAGAGCGTTACAGGTTATGAAATTCTATCGCTTAAACAATCTTGTTATTGTAAATTACAGCCTTCTAGGCAAGGTACCTACTCCCAACTGTTGAAGCAATCGTCGATCTAGGCGTCATTCTGGACAGCAGTTTATCTTTTGCTCCTCATAACTACAAAATTTGCAGGTGTTGGGTTTCATAAGATGTGCCACCTCAGAATTCAATAATATAAATTTCATAAAATTGCTCTACTTCTCATTAGTTAGGTCGCACTTGCATTTGGAGTATAGTTCTTCTGTCTGGAATCCTTATTATGCAGTCCACCTTAATAAAATCGAACATATCCAGCATACATTTCTTCGTTATGAAGCATATAAACTAAACATACCCATAGTCAGTGAGCAGATTGACTATGCTGATCTAGAAATTTCACTGAACATGAACACCCTATCAATACGTTGGAGACAACAATATATGAAACTTTTCTTCAACATCATCAATTACAGATCCTACGATCCACACCTACTACAAAGGCTTAACTTCCATGTCACTCCGCGAAACAGATGCAATGCTTACCTATTTAAACAACGGTACCCTTTCATATGACCAATTGTTGCTTCAACTCTCCTATCAATCGATTAACACGAGCTGCTAACTCAGAATCTTTGGATCTTTATGGCATCTCATACAACCAGTTTCTTGCTGATTTACGAAGAATTGTTATTCAAAATCCTTTCTAGTTATTTTTTATGGAATACTTTACCATTGGCTAGAATGTAAACTATATACTTATAGTTTCCTTTCAAATTTATTGTTATTACTACGTTTTAATAGAATTAACTCAATGTTTGTACCTTTATGTTATGAAATGGGCTAGTCTAAATCTAAAGGACTGTGGAAGAGTATGTGGGTTTAGAATTGGTTACACAAACTTGTAACTGATTTAGGAGAAATAAGGCAGACAATAATCTTGAAGTAAAAAATTCGAATTTCGGGTTTGCACAGGATTTCAACATTATTACATTATAATTATAATAATAATAATTATGGTGCAGACCAAAAAAATAACGTCACATGATAGAATGATACATTTTTCTATGTAGGTAACTATAATTATATGTTAAATTCAAAAACATCACCGAGAACTACCACAATCGCGATATCCTGCCTGCAGCAATTTTTTTCAATATCAGATAATTGCACAATCAATGCACAATGTAAACATGTTTACTTAATAATAATTTGCTAGATTGAGTGGGAATAAATTTAATCTTCCAAACTATTGGAAATTTCAGGAACTAATTTTGACATTGGGGCTTCTGAAACATTATTGTTTCCATTACCCAATAATAAATTGTTATTTCCAACTTAATAACGTGGCAATGAATCTAACATTAAATAGTCAGCTCTTATTTGAATTTGTAGATGCATGGATTCAGCAAATAAATAACTTGAATTGAGCTGAGTCTTCAATATAATGATGCTTTCAAGATAAGGAAAGAGCTGTTACCCACGAAAAATATCTTCTTGATTTCCATTATTGGAAACAAACAATCTCTTCTTTTTATTAGTTTGTTCCTCTATTATTTTCAAGAGTTTCTGTTCTAACAGTTAGTACAATCCTTCATCAAAGTGATTCATTCTCCTGCAATTTTTCCATCACCATATTATGGGTCTTCAACTTCCTTGGTCGTTTAATAATGATTTTGCACCGATTGGAACGCTCATCGGTAAAGTGTCATGGTCATTAAAATTACCATTTATTGGACACGAACCAGGTTGCAAGTGCAATTATTATTGAATCTTAATTGTTATTGATTTAATTGCAATTGATGCATACATAATTATTATTTTCAATGGAAACCATTTGAGATAATTGTGAGGAAGATTATTGCATTAAGGTCTGGAAAATCCCAGAAATATCCAATTCTGACTGATATGATGGTATCAAGTATCATGATTATTTTTATTATTTGCTGATGTTTAGATTTGGGTCTTTATCAAAGTAGATAATGGTAAAAATCTTCCCAAGTACATCATTTTTATTTGTTTGAAACACATGATTATTGTATATCAAACAGATAATCTCTTTTTCTATTTTCTTTGTAAAGACATGAAAGGTAGAGACGTAGCAGTTTAAAGAGAATAATTTCCTTTGTCCTAAATCCTCTCTCTATATCCTCGTATAGAATAATATTTATCTTTTACATTTATAGACCATTATAATTTATAATAAATCTTCCAATGTTACATATTTTAATGGAAATGTTCTGTATCCTATTAAAATCCAAGTTCATCTAACCATTAATCCAACTAGGTACAGAATTAAATTAGAAAGTTTTTACTAAAATTGATAATTTATATTTCAGAATACTATTCTTCCGGAAGCTGTAAACTTTTGGGAAAAAGCCCTGTTTGTGCGGAGGGCGGATAATGTAATACGACTGACAAGGTAAGAATATTTTTTGCTATTATGAAACGACAAAAATAATGCTCAAAAATGAACCAATTGGTATCCGAAGCCTACTGCGTCATTTTATAGTAATTAATAAATTACTTATTTCACACGCTATTAATTAAAAAATTGACACACATAAAAATGTGTTTTATAGATCAACGAATGTTAAATGGTTTTGACCTATCTAAAACTTAAGCATCAAATTACTTAAAAATGTATCAACACAATATTTTTCTAACTCCTACTCTATACGAATTTATTTGAGTAAAAATAATTCCTCTGTCAGTTCTACTTATTCCATCCATTAGGTACCTGTTTCCAAACTGTCAAACGTCTTGAATGGGCGGAATTTTTCCTGGATATTTCTGCCAACAAAATACTTACCAGATTTTTTTGTTATGTTACATTATATTTTGATACTTGGAGCTTGCAAAAAAAATGTAATATCTCCGGCCGCAGTTTTGCGGCATTGAAAATTGAGCTCATTCTTAGTGCAGTTTAATACACTGCCAAGGGATTAAAATTTACTTTTTATAATACAACTAAATATTTATTAATAGGGTTAATTAATACTCTGGTATATTCCCTTTTGTTTCGTTGAAATTAATTTGCACTACAGTACAATCCCATTTTAAAATGGTTCACTTTTAACCAAGAGTTAATTATGGACATTGAACTCTTTTAACCTTTTTTGTTTTCATTACGAGTCACGATTAGACACTTTTTTTTTCGTTCCTGCATTAGATAATGAAATTTTGTTTTTTGATACCAAAAATGTTTTCAGCAATGGCCCAATGATCAATTTTATTCATATAGTCCCATAATTAATGGAATACTTCTCTTTTAAGAATCACTTTCCAGCCATTCGTCTCGAAACTCAGCATGACAACCCAACATCCGCGCTTATAAGCAAACCTAGAATATTTGAAGTGAAACAGATTCACGGAGATGGAAACTGCTTGCTTTGAGCCGTCAGTCTCTTCATCCACGGAACACAAGAGCATCATAGGAAAGTTAGACATAAGGTGGTCAGCTACATTCGGAAAAACTGGAATGAGGTGAAAACATACTTAATGGCAACTGACCCATGAATGCAGAATGATAGAAACTACTGCTATAACATGAGTCAGGACGGTACATATGGTACCAGCGTAGAGATATTGGCATTATCGGAATCCACAAGTTAAACATCAACGTCTACACATCAATGCAACGAACAACTACTAACAAGTTCACGCCAGATCAACCACCAACTGTCATAAGCAAAACAGCAAGATCAAAGGAGCTCAACTTCCTTCTGACAGGAAACTTGGAGAACGGACACTTTGAACTCTTGCAACCAGCCGAAACGCCAAAGGAAACAGAAATAAGGAAACAAACACCCGTCGATCCCAAACATCGAGAAGCGAACAACCAAACCAAGGACAAGAAAAAAAACACCGAGCAAGGCATCCAGAAGCCAATTAAAGAACCAAGTCTACAACCAAGCGAAACCAGGAAACCAGAAAGGATCAACCGAACAGTCGATGAATACAAAGAAATAATGTGGTGTAGAAAGAACTGGAACAGCCAATCTCAAGGAAACATTCAGACTCTGGAAAACTCGTAATCCACACTCAAAACACAACTTCACTGCAAACACCATGGCCACGCAGAGAAGGTACATCCAGCAACAGAACAAAATCAGAATTAGAAAACATCCTGAAAGAAGTGAAAGCCGAGATCCAGAGCCAAACAAACGCAACCAACATTCAAGAAATAGAACAGAAGGAAACAGAAGACAAGGAATATACAGATGAAAAACAGAGGAAAGCACCAGTTCTAAAGATACCTAGCTAAGAAATAGAAACCGAACAGCAGAGAGCCAGGCAACCAGATTCACAGAGCAGTAACAGAAGATCATAACGCAGAATGCGGTGGGCTCAGGGAGAAAATACTGACCACCCTAAAAGAAGTAAGGATAGACGAAAATACACAAAGAAATCCCCTAAAGAAAATAGACAGCAACGGAAAAGCCAATAAAGTAATCAAAAACGGCAATGAGGCAATTGAAGAAATAATAAGACAACACCCAGATGAATACAGAAACATAACGGCAATCAACAACTTTGCGTACGCTACAGCAGCAACAATACAGAACATATTGATACCAGAAACCAAAGGGAATCAACCTAAAGCAAGAGAAGAAGAACCACCATGGAAGCGAAGAATCCAGTGCCGAATAGCAACGTTGAGAAAAAATCTATCACAACTGAAAGATACTCAAAGCTCTGCGCTCAGCAAAACAATGAAAGATAAGAGAATAAAACTATTCGCGAAGTACCACATCACCAAGGAGACGCAACTCAAGGCAACGCAAGAAAAACCTGAAACAACAAATAGCAGCTAAAGCCTACAGAATAAAACGATACACCGAGAGAAGCAACCAGTACTATCAGAATAAACAGTTCACGGAAAACATACACCGATGAAACAGCAAACTGGAAAGCAGCAGGAATAGGCGTACCAAACTTCTGGTAGAAGAAACTAGAAGCAATACATGAAACCCTGGTAAACTCTTACAACGACATGATAAAAGATGAACAGGAGTCACCCTCTGGTTGAACAGGCAAGACCCACCTGATCCCCAAATCCACTGAAAAAGCCAAATCATATCACCCCATAGCCTGCTTGAACAATGTATACAAAATCCTAACGAAGGTAATATTAAAAAGACTCTACTTACATCTAATAGAAAATAATCTCTTCCCTGGCGAACAAAAAGGCTGCGTCAAGAACTCTTAAGGGTGCAAACTGCAAACACCACCTCTTGACCAGCAACATGATCCAAAAAGACTGCAAGAACAACCGGAAAAACCTCGCAATAGCCTGGATTGACTACAGAAACGCTTTTGACAGTGTACCTCATAGCTGGCTAGTAGAAAGCATGAACATAAAATGAACCTCCTCAACACTTCTAGCCTTTATAACAAAAACCGTGGCTACTTGAAAAACTGACCTACACCTGTCAACTGGATCAATAACCCTCCTAATCAAAGAAATCAACATCAAGAACGACATTTTCCAGGAAGATTCGCTGTCATCGCTACTATTTTGTATGTCCCTGCTCGCCCTGAGTACCATCCTTAACAGCACAGGTACACAGAAGCAAAAGATAAACCACCTCCTATATGTTGATGATCTGAAGCTGATAGCTAAAAGAAGACGAAATAACGCAACAGAAAAAGTACACGAATTCAGCAGAGACATACAGATGCAATTTCAACTAGATAAATGCGCAAAGGCTACATTCACTAAAGGAAAGCTACAAATGAAGGAAAACATAGTACTATATAGACGACAACACCAGCATCAAGGCATAAGAATAACACGAAGTGTACAAGTACCTGGGAATTGACGAGAACGACAGAATACAGCACAAGAAGATGATAGTGAAACTGGAAAAGGAATACTACAGAAGAAACAGAGGAATACTCAAGACCTAACTTAACGCCAAAAACAAGAGCTCTGCTATTATAGTCTAAGAGCCCGTGACACAAAAGCCTCAGTCATCTGTTAGAAGGCCTTTTTTTGATGCGAATAAATAATATGGACTTACTGAGGCTTGAACTGAAACGGTTGGCGGGCCTCTACCATGTCCACTGTCCATGTCCATGTCCCTTTACCATGTCCATCGCGTTTTAAGTAACCTGCGGATGAAATCGCATATATCAGTTATTAAACGTGTCTATTATTATTTTATTTCATGTAAAAATCCTCACTATGTCTTTAAATTATAACGAGGGAAAAAACAACTTCAATTTCGCAAAAACATATGTTTAAATAAAGAATAGAGCGCCACCCGGCCGACAACCCAGCGCAGAAAGGACGAACAAGTAGAAATGTATAATTTCCACTTCTAACAGATGACTGAGGCTTTTGTGTCACGGGCTCTCGTAGTATTACAAACCTAGCAGTCCCTGTAATACAATACAGTTTCGTCATCATCAATTGAAGGCCAGCAGAACTCAGGAAAATGGACAGACAAACCCGGAAGCTACTCAACATCCACGGCGGACTCCACCCCAAAGCCAACGTAGACCGGTTATACTTGCCAGGTAAAGGAGGAGGGAGAGGCATGCAAAGCCTGGAAAACTGCCACACTATCGTGATAAGAGGACTAAACGCCTACTTCGACCTGAAAAAGAAAGACAAGTACATCTGCATGATGAACCGACAAAGAGAGCGACACAAGGAAAAAGATTACAGCGAAGACGAAAAAGCGGAAAGCGGCAGCCCGAACCAACCTGAAGCAAAAAGAGTCAAACAGATTAAGGAAGGATTGAAACAACAGAAGAGAAGAGAACAGACAACAAGGTGGAGGGAAAAGGCCCTACATGGACAAATCGCAAAGGAGTCGGGGAAGGAAATCATCAACACAGCTGCATCATGGAAGTGGCTCGCTCATGCAAATCTGAAAATATAATATAAACCGAAGCACTGGTAACTGCATGTCAGGAGCAAGCTATAGCCACCAACTATTACAAAAAAGTATTGTTTGTTTCACGTACCTAAAATATAGGTTTTTTAGGTACCTACTTGTTACAAAAAATACATATCTTAGCTCGATTGACATAAAAACAGTTGCCTTTGGTTTTAGTTCAATTTTTTTTTTCTACTACCGCGCGTGAAGTACTAACGGCCATTTGCACCGCTATAGCTTAGGGGATATTTAATCCGAGTGGAGCTTTGAATGTGACTCTCGTAGAAACAAAAGTCACATTCAAAAGCTCCACTTAAATTAAATATCCCTTAATATCCCTTAAGTGATAGCGGTGCAAATGGCCATAAGTGTAACTTTTTTTTACAGAGTACTATTCATGGGTACTATCATCTGTGATAAAATCAGCTTGATTGCAAAAACTTCTCCTATTTATGCTAACTGCCCTGGTCTAATATGCAGGCAACAGGCAAGGATAATGCGAAGGCAGACATAGACCCACTGGCGTAACTAG